TGGGGTGTGTGTGTGGGGGAAGGGAACCTCGAGGGAGGGGCTGAGAGAAGCCCCCTGAGCCCAGGCGCACAGTCTAAACCTCACCCTAGTTGTCATGCAGCCAGCTCATTGGGTGCGATGGTCTTTGGTCCCACCCCCTCTCTTCACCCAGTACTGCCCCTTCCTCCATCCCTTCTTCCTTCCTGGGCCTCTGATCCTCTTCCTCACACTCCTGGTTCATTTCTCCCTCTCTTCTAGGCTCAACTCCAGCTCCTGACTCAGTGGTCTGACTGCTAAAGGGACGGATCCAAGAGGGATGGTTTGATTTTTGCACCGTCTGCCTTCCCAGAACCCACACTGAGCTCCTTTCACTACCCCAAATGGAACCTGCCCTGGCTCAAGTAGCCCCTCCCAGATATTCTCAGGGTGCATCAGGGGGACAAGGTAACTCACCTGAGGTTGGTGAGTGTGGATGGGCCCTGGGTTCCCAGTCTCTACTCCCTATTGCCTCCTCTGCATGAAGTTTCCCGCCCCAACACCAACATCATTCTTTTGGATGATGGGTGAGGAGGTCTGACCCCTGCCCATGTCCCCACATGCTCAGGCACTTGTCCAGGTGCACATCAGATATGAGGCCAGGAATAAAACTGTCCAGTCCCAAGGCTTGACCACAGGGCCTTTCCTTGAGTCCTGCTAAGGTAGGAAGTAAGCATTTCAGATTGAGACCAGTGTCTTTGACCTCCAGGCTCCTGTGCTCATCAAACCTGTAGGGACTAAGAGCGCTGTCTGGGGCTGCAATGTCTCACTGTCTCTATCAAAGTCTCCACCCTGAGAAAGAATGCGGGAGTGGTTTGGCCCACCCAATCCAGACGTCTACTTGGAAAACACACACACACACACACACACACACACACACACACACACACACACGAGTGCACGCGCACACATGCACACATGCAGGCCTTTTGGCATTCAACTCTCTCATGAAATAATTGCTGGAAAGCTGCTTTTAGATTAGGTAACCCAGTGTGCCTTCCTGTCCCTTTTGGGGGTGGTGGTGTCCGTGCTCAGCATCTGATTCAGCTTCATGTAGTGGTGCTGACCAGTCCAGGAGGGTTTGGGCTTCAAACACCCTGGGAAGTGGAACTTGACAGAAACAAGCCTTTCAGACATCTCACTCCTGTGGGTCATTGGGCTGGACCTGCCCAGCCACTGAGTGGGACTCCTTCCAGGGAAGGAGAAGCCCATGGGGGTGGAGGGTGTGGGGGGAGACCATGAACTGTTGCTGTTTTTTTTCACAGAGAAAAGAGGGGATGTTCTTATTAAAAAACAAAACCAAAAAACAATTTGACAATATAAAAGGAAATTTACAATTTGCCCACCTTCCCATCACCCTTATGCAACAATTGTTTCCATTCTTCCCTTTTCTGTGATAGTTGTAGGAGTGGGTTTGAAAGGGGGATATCTGGCTTCAGACATGAAAGGAGCATTGAGAGGTAGTGCAGGTGGGAGTCCTGTGAATAGAGATCAACTACTAGAGACCCTGATGGAGAAGGGAAGTGATTGGTCTCAAGATTACCCACTCCAGGAGTTAGGAGATTCTGCCCAAGAAAACCCCTTGCTCCCCAACTGCGCTCAGACTCCCCTGGCTCCCTTAACAGGTCATGGATTGTTGTTGTTGTTAAGTGCTGTTGAGTCAGTTCCAACTCACAGTGACCCTGTAAAGGGTTTCCAAGGAGCGACTGGTGAATAAGAACTGCTGACCTTGTGGTTCAAACTGCTCTTGCGATCTAACGGGAAAGGCCCAATGATTTTGTTGCAGAGTAGGACTGGGAGGGGAGAGTGCATAATGGCAGGGAAAAAAAGGCACCTCATCATCTGCCTCATTCTCCAAGCCTTATACCAAAAACCCAAACCTAAACCAAACCCATGGCCATCAAGTGGGTTCCAACTGATAATGACCCTACATAAGTTTTCTGAGACTGTTGATCCTTACGGAAACATACTGCCTCATTTTTCTCCCACATGAACCATGGACTTTGAGGTTAGCACCTCAATGCTTAAGAGTTACGAGGCGGCCTGCTAACCTCAAGGTCAACAGTTCGAAATGACCAGCAGTTTCATGGGAGAAATAGGAGGCTTTCTGCACCCATAAAGATTTGGTGGTGTTGGTAGTGGTGTGCCTTGGAGTCGGTTCCAACTCATAGCAACCTTGTACAGGGTTTCCGAGACTGTAAATCTTTATGGGAGCAGAATGCCTCCTCTTTCTCCCGCGGAACATCTGGTAGTTTCGAACTGCTGACCTCGAGGTTAGCAGGCCTCCTTGTAACTCATAAGCGTTGAGTTCATGTGGGAGAAAAATGAGGCAGTAGAGGCCAAGATGGCCAAACTCCGTCTTTCATACTTTGGACATATTGTCAGGAGGGAGCAGTCGCTGGAGAAGGATATCATGTTTGATAAGGTGGAGGGTCAGAGAAAAAGAGGAAGACCCCCAACGAGATGGATTGGCAAAGTGGCAGCATCGATGGACTCAAGTGTGGCAACTCAAGTGAGGTTGGCCCAGGATTGGGCAGTGTTTCGTTCTGCTGTGCATAAGGTCGCTATGGGTGAGTACCGACTCGATGGCACCTAACAACAACAAAATGTTTCCACAAGGATCATAAGTCTCAGAAATTTTATGTAGGGTCATTATAAGTTGGAACCCACTTGATGGCCGTGGGTTTGGGTTTTTGGTATAAAGTTCGTAACCACTACACAGCCTCGGAAATCCTTTGCAGAGTCGCTATGAGTCGGAACCCACTCCATGGTACACCACCACTACCTCCAACGCTTATCCCACACCACCACGAGGGTTTCCCTCTGCTGTGGGCACGTCTTTTTGTTGTTACGTGCTGTCAAGTTAATTTCAACTCACAGCGACCCAGCACAGGGTTTCCGAGGAGCAGCTGACGGTTCAAGCTCACCAGCCACTCTTTGGAAACCCCATACAGGGTTGCTATGAAGGCATAGACAAGAAGCCGTGCCCACAGCAGACGGAGGACAGCGATGGGCACTGGGTAACGTTAGGGCGGCAGTTGTAGGGGCTGCTGCTGCTGCTCTCAAGTTTTCTTGAGCAGTGGTGTGTCCCCACCACCTGTAAAACCCGGATCTTGCAGGTGAGAGCCCCCAGGGAATGCATAACCCACAAGTGTGTTTCCAAAGTCTATTGGGGGGCTGGACTTTCTTCCGGTGGATCCACAGCCCCTTCCAGGTGGTTTCTCTGAGGTTAGGGAAGGCTCAGGCTCAGCATGTCCCCCGCGACGCCGCACCCCAGGCCTCCGTACCCTCACACCCCAGAGTCTCTAGGGGTGGGACGTCCCAGAGACAACCGGAGAGAGCCCTGCCCCGCCCCCGATGCCCCGCCCCCCGTGCGGCACCTCCTTCCTCCCGCCCCTCCAGCCGCCCTCTGGGAGAACCCAGCCTCTGCATCCAGAGACAGAACGGGAGCTGCGGAGTGCGGGCCCTCTCTCTAGCTGTTCCAGTCCGCTCCCAGACCTGTGCGCCCAGCCCGACCATGGAACCAGCTCCTGAGGCGGAGGAGGCGCGCACAGTGCGTGAGGCTCTGAGCCGCTATGAGGCGGCGCTGGAGGACGCGGTGCGCGCTCTGCACGAGGACATGCAGGGACTGCAGCGCGGCGTGGAGCGGCGTGTGGCCGAGGCGCTGCGTTTAGCCGGCCCGCTGGCGCGCACCGTAGCCGAGCTGCAGCGCGATAACCAGCGGCTGCAGTCACAACTCGAGCGTTTGACGCGCCAGGTGGAGGCGCTGGGCTTGGCAACCGGGCTGTCCCCCACGACTGGCACACCCAGTCCCCCTCCCGCGTCCCGGGTCCCTGATCGCGCACCCCGCCTGGGCACTGCACGCTACGCCAGTCACGCCACCTTCTCAGTGTCTGGCCGCAGCCTGGTGAGTCTGCGGGAGTAGGGCGCACCCGCGTGTGTGCATGTGCGCTTGCGCAGGACTAGTGGGGCTCTGGGCTTGGTGCCGCCCCCCACCCCCACCTATTCCCAGAGTGCGTGCGCCCATGCGCGTCTGTTGGGCCCCCGGCGGCGTTTGATCTGGTCCGTAGGCCTAGATGATGGGGGATGGGATAGGGGTAGGGAGGGTCCAGTGACTCGCTGGAGTTCTAGAGGGCAGGGAAGCACTGTCTTAGCCTGCTCGCTGCACCTGTCTCAGCTCCCAACTGTCTTTGGAACGAGACATTGTTTGTCTCAAGTGCTGTCCTCTTCTCATCAATGTCCCGTGACGCTAAAAGCTTGGGCATTGAGGCACAGCCCCTGGTCCAGTCACCACTGCCTGGGCCCCACCGGGTGTTGGACGCTGACCTCCACTCACTCAACCCTCTCCTCGTCCCAGCCTAGTGTTTTTGCTTCACTGAGGCCTGACGGCTTCAGTTGTTGATTAACCAAAGAGAAAATTCGATCCTCAATGCTGCCCTCCACCTGCATGTGTGTAGTGGGCACAGTTGGGTGGGAATGCAGCAGTGGACAAACCCCTTAGAGTGAAGAGCGCGTGGGAGGATATGGCTTTAAGCAGTCCTTAGGTTTCTGGGGTCAGTGGCTGGCCAAAGAGAGGCTCTCACTTGGTGGGGACAGAAGCCCCAGGGGACCATTCACCACCTGATCATGGGCCTCCCAGACAGGCATGTTCAGGTAAGCAAATTTCCATGTTATTATGTGCAATGGCCCTTAGGTGGGATTTTCCACCCTGGCTTGTTCTCTGCTCCAGTTTGGGTTTGCAGGGTCTGTTCTGAATACTGTGCCCGGGTAGTCCTTCTTTGGCTCAATCCTTACAGACAGATCCCCTGGGCTGCACCTTTGAGGCCAGGAGGAAGTAGATCAGCTTAAGTCTTGGCCCTGGAAGCCCCAGGCGAGGTAGGAGCTGGATCCAACTGAGTAGTACTAACAGCCAGGGGACCTGCTGCTATAGACCGCTAACCAGACTTCCCAGTGGGTGTTCAGGAAGGCTGTGTGCTGGAGTGTTGCTGCGGGTGGAGTGGAGCTGTGTATGCAGCCTCAGAGACCTCTGGAGTTGGGAAACTCCAAGTTCTCATTGGGCAGAGTGGAATCTCATACAGATGAGAGTGGAGGTGAAATGTAAAGATCCCCGAATGCTGGGCAGAGGAGTTGGGCTTTGTCCTGGTTGGTGGCAGAGCCCTTGGGTGTGCCAATGCTCTGTGCGGAGTGTCTGCAAATCTAGATCTGCTAAATTCTGTTCAGTAAGTATGACACATGGCACCTCCGTATGCTCAAGAAGCTGTCATTGGTTGTTTCTGAGGTTTTTGTTTGACACAACAGTTGGCCATCGGTCAGAGCTGACTAGATGACAGCTCACAACAACGGTTTAACCCTTATTTGCTACTTGTCTGCTCGTGGAAGCGGTTGCCCAAGTTTTAGGAAAAATCATAGTTCCAAAACTCCAAATCTGTGGCCATTGAATGGATTCTGACTCATAGTGATCATGTAGGACAGAACAGGACTGTCCCGTAACGTTTCCTGGTATAGTGCTGCAGGATAATGCGCTGGACCGCAAGGTCAGTTTGAACTGCAGGTGAATGGTTCAAACTCAGCAGCCGCTCCTCAGAAACCCTATGCATGGTCTCTCTGGGTTGGGAGGGACTTGATGGCACACAGCAATAATGTAAAGTTTCCAAAGCTGTAATCTTTTAAGGGGGGTGGGAGCACAGTGGCTCCATCGGGTAAGTACTGGCCTTTGAACAACAAGGTCAGCCGCTCCATCAGAGGAAGATGAGACTTTCTGCACCTGCAAAGATTTATAGCCTCAGAAACCCTATGCAGGGTTGTTATGAGTTAGAGCCAACTCCACAACACTTAACAACAACCGCAACAACAACAATCTTTTAGGGAAGTCAAATGCCACATCTTCTGTGGAGCAACTGGTGGGTCTTGGTTAGCAACTCAGCCATTATATACTGTGAGTCTTAGTTATCTAGTGCTGATGTAACAGAAAATACAAGATAAACGTGTTTTCTCATAACTTCAAAAGGCTAGAAGTCTGAAGTCAGGGTATTGCCGCTACAGAAAGGCTCTCTCTCTGTCAACTCTGTGTAAAGATCCTCCTCTCTTTCAGCTTCTGTAGCTTCTGCTTTCCTCCGTTTCTTCGTCATCTTCATGTGGCATCTCTCCCCCCGCTACCCCACCTCTTTGCTCTTGTTGTGTGTCTATTACTTTTTTTGTATCTCAGAAGCAGAGCTTCCAGTGAATTCTTCCTAGTTCATTCGTGGCTGACAAAGTGATGGCTGGTAAAGTAGCACTGGAACTGACCTGGATTTGTCTAATACAGATGTACTGGAATGATAACTGGAACTGCAAAAAGTATAGATTGATGCTCTGCTAGAAATTTAATGTCCCTCTTAGAAAACAAGGGCAGTGTAAGTTGCACGGTAACCAGACCTCTTGGCCAGCAGAGTCGGAGACCACAGTGTCAGGCTCCAAGATGGTGGCTGATAGTGCTTCTTTGACTGTGAGTCCGTCTCCACAGTCCTGCCAGTAGCCTCACTGTGTCTCTTCCCAGTTTACCACTCTAGCTCTCTGACTTGGATTTTTCCTGTTCTGGTTGCTCTTCTGCTTCATCCAAATTAAAAAAAAAATCCAGGTCTGTTTTGATGACCATAACAACTGATTTGAAGTGCTTTTCCTAAGTGATTAGATTTAGAATACACCCTACACTGATATGGCCTCGTTAACATAATAAAGAAACCCCTATTTCCAGATGGAATTATATCCATAGTTACAGTGTTGTTAAGAGTCATAGAATTGGTTCTGACTTACTCATAGCAACCCTCTATAGGGTTTCCTTGGAGTAGCTGGTGGGTTTGAACTGTTTACCTCGTGGTTAGCAGTCCAGTGCTTGTCCTACAGCACCACACCAGGACTCCAGCCTTAGTTACAGGGGTTAGGATTCTAACAGATGTTTTGGAGGGACACAATTCAATTAAAAATACATGCACACACACATGTACATATACATAGGTAAGTGGATTCTCTCGAGTCACGTAGCTTTTATTCACCTGGCATGATCTAGTCCTCTTGGTTATGGGGGTTGTGGGAGTCGAGGGGCTGAAACAGGGCCCTCCTTACACTTGGCTGGATCCTCAGGGTGAACACAGGAGTGGGTGAGGTTGGAGACAGGGTCACTTAGTTGTGGTGGTCTGGGGGCAGGATGGTGGGTCTGAGCAGAGGCAGTGGTGTGGAAATGGAGTCAGGTTTAGGATGAGAGTAGCATCAGCAGGATTTGGTAGTCTTCTATGTTATTTTTTTCATATGAAGGCAGTCTCATACCTTTATTAGATAACCAGCTATTACTTTTCATCTGCATTGACCGTAGGTTTTTGAGAATGGTGGCAGGACATAGCTAAGTAATGCATAGAGTTTGTGTGGGGAACCCTCATCCTCCTTACGTTTTCTGGACAACTGTCCAGGGATACGGTATGGGACATTCCTGATTCCTGTGGCCCAGGCAGCTTTGGTGAGCCTGGTGTCAATATGCATGTGTGGTGTGTCCATCTCCTTCATGGCAAATTTCCTAGTTTCCTTGAGTGCCTAAGGCGCATGCTTCTGGAAGCCTACAGCACAAATGCACTTGTGAATGTCGAGGGTGTGCTTCTGGTCACCACTTCGTTGATGGCAGAGTTACCTTCTGGCCACCTAATTTGCGGTAGCCATAGTGCTGGGTTTTAAAGGACTTGGTAGTCTGTGGATGTGAGAATGAAGGCAGAAAGAGGAGGTCACAGATCTAGGAGGAGATGGAGATGCTAGGTTCAGTGTAGGTTGTGTTGAGCATGAACGGCCTGTATGTCAAACGGCCTGTAGTGCAGGTGGCTTCTTGGATCTGGGGTGTGCCAGAGAGTGATCAAGACTACAAGTTAGGGGGATCTTAGGGCAGATACTTCCTTGGAGGTTATGGAGTGGGTGAGGTCTTCCAAGGCAGTTGTGCAGAAGGAAAGAATGAGCGGGAGCCTGAGGGGAAACCAAAGAGTCTGAAGGACCAAAACCAGAGCCAGAAGTTGCCGGAGGAGGAACCCTTTTCAAAGAAGGGATGTTGAAGTCAGTGAAGGAGCAGTTGTGGACTCCAGAAAGGTCTCTTGGGCACTGAGACTAAGTCAAGTAGCAGATATAGTTGAGAATTGTGGGTGGAGCTGGTCAGTGTCTGCAGCTGGATCAGAGGCTCTGCTGCCCCCCATCGCTACTCTCCACCCCACCCCAGTACCTGCTTCCTGGGCCCCAGACAGCATCCACACTGTCTGACCCTGGAGTGCTGACAGGCTCCGAACCTGTTTCTGGCAATATGGGGGACTTTGTGGACCACCCCTACTTTCTAGCTCATGCTCTGTGACCAGCAATATGTGATCCAGTGTTTGTCACGAATGAGGAATCAGGGCTTCAAGACAAGATGGGAGTGTGGATAGTGGCCGGAGGGAGAGTCACAGCTGCCCTCTCATATTCCTGTGCCTATGCCCCAGCAGGGCCTGTGTGTGATAGCCTCAGCCGTGCACATGGCCCTGGTGGTGGCAGTACTACTTGATTTGTGGCCAGGCATTGTGGAAGCTGATATCACACTACCGTGAGAAGTAGACTTGTGCAGACCCATTGAAATGTCCTGAGGTTTCTAAGTGAGGACTATGGGGTTGAAGGTGGGTCATCTTCAGCATGTAAACATGTCCTGAACTCAGTCGTGCAAAATTTGGCCAAGTGTGCTTACCTCAGTCGTGTCATGCTGGGTCATGAGACAGGATGGTCAGGCAAGCTCTGGGGCCAGTGGACAGGACAGTGCGGTGGGCATCAATAGGATGGATTCCCTGCAGAAGGCCAGAGACCCTGGGGCTGACTGGACCTGGTCTCCTTCCAGCTGGACTTTAGTAATCTAAACGGAGTGGGGAGTCCCTGGCTGGGATAGATGGTTAAACACTCGACTACTAACGCAAAGACTGGTGGTTCAAATGTACTCAGAGGTACCTTGAAGGACAGGTCACAGCCTTGAGCACCCTGTGGAGTGCAGTTCTACTCGGACACACGTGAGGTTGTCTTCAGCTGGAAACATCTCAGTGCCAGTGAACACCAGTTGGAGGGGACTGACCAAGTCTTGTTGGCCCTTCAAGCCCAGCGGGCTGGGTGATGGTAACATTAATAGATGGTCATTTATTTGAGCACACAAAAGCATCCCTGGAGCCTCCGCTGTGGTCCTGAAGAAGCAGGGAACTCGCTTGGAACAGGAGGTGAACGGGGCAGTCTGCAGCCCGAGCCATTCCCTGGAAATATTGTCCTCAGCTGAGCTGGAGCCTCTGGGTCCCCGTGGCCGAGTCCCTCAGGAACAACTGCCAAGACTGGAGTCGGCCTGCTGGTGAAAGAAACCAGACTTGCCTTATCTGCCTTCCTTTCCCAGACACACTGTATGATAAGAGAGTTAAATGCTTTGGGGAGAAGCTTGAATTGAGTCCTTTAAAACTGTGGTGTGAGTCCAGGAGGCCAGGCGGTTGTGTTAAGTGTCTCAGGACTGGTATGCTGGCCCTTTGTGGGCTGTGCTGGGCACAGCATGGACTCTGTGTTCATGGACAAGCTTGTGTGGGGTCAGGCTACACCAGGAAGACCTGAAGTACTGCTCCTTTCCCTTGTGAAAAAGGTTAGAAAACTTCCCCATAAAGAGCGTCCAGTCTCCTGCAGTCTCTGAAATCAGACTTATCTAATTCTCTGCCTCCCCTCTGGCGTTTCCAGGCTGGGGAAGCTCCCCCTTTCTTAAAACAAAGCCCAGATGGGACTTTTTGGGGGTACTAGAGTCAGCTTGACACAGGGTCTGCCCCCATCTTGTGATTTCTCTCTATCCCCAGAACACAGAGGTGTCTTTGTGGTTGCCTACTCCCAGCCAAGGTGGGCTGCCCTCCACCAATGGAATGCTACAAGTCCCAGGAAGAATATGCCCGAGACCACTTGCTCTGGCTCAACCCAGCCTGACTTCTTGCTTGAAGAGAAACTCTAGCTGGGGGACTCACCCATTTTCTTTCTTCTCATCTGGCTAAGACAAGTCTGGGGAGACCAGGGTTCACCTGACCTAGGCCCTGGGCAATACGAGCCACTCTGTGAATGTCCCGAGAGCTTGGAGGACCGAACTCGGGGTTGGGATAGGACACCTGAGTTCTAAACCTTGACTCTGGCATTGTGGTCTGACTCTAGGGGCACCCCCATGTGTGTGATGAGGGCTTGGAGGGTGGTCTCTGAGTAGTCTTTGCTTCTTTGCTGGCTGGGGGGCCTGGATGTGGGCAGGGCTCCTGTCCCTGGTTGAAGAGTGTTTCTAGGGGCCCTAGGGGTGGGTGGAGTGTTGAGCAGAAGGCACTTGGGAGTCAGAACCCACCCTTAGCTACAGCCTGGTCTTCTAGTCCTTTCCCACCCTTCCTTTGCTAGAGGTCTCTTGGCAGGCATCTAGCTGGTCAGAACCTATTTCCAGGCTAGTTGTGGTGTCTGGTCCCCTGGGGCGTCATGGGGGGCCTGTGACGTGCAGGGACAGGCATCTACAGGGGCCCCATAGGTTCACATTCCTGAGAAAATGGTTTTGCCATCAGCCTGTCCCTCCAGGCCCCTCTCTGGACCTGTGGAACCTGTTGGACCACAGCAGGGTGGGTGCGGGGACTCGTGAGACCCCAGAGCAGAGACAGTCCTGGTGACAGGTGGGAGCTCGGGTTCAGGATGGACTGGTTGGTTTTCTACCCATGTTGACTTGGCATTGAGTTAGCCACAGTGTGGCTTTAGTGTGGCACTCTCTCCTTTCTGGTAGGTGCCCCACACCCTTTTCTAGCATTCCGTTGACCCTTCCCCTCCATTCTTCTGAGTCAGAAGCTGAGGCGTCCATTTCTTCCTGAAGACCAGCTTTCCCCAGGCCCTGGGTCCCAGCCTCTCTCCCCTCCTCAGGGACCCCGCCCCATCAGTGGTCCCTATACTCTGTTGGAACCTTCCTCTGAGCCTGTAAGCGTGTTCTCCCCTCTCTCCTCTGGAGAACCCCCTCAACTCCTTCCCCCACTTCCCCGTCTCCTCAGGGCTAAGGTGGCTCTGTCTTGTGTAGACCCAGTGTTACCTCCTTCTCCCCCAACTTACCTTTTGCCCCCACCACACCTTCCACTTAGTTCTACCACCATCACCAGTGACCTCTGCTAAACCCAACAGATGTTTTTTTTGTTTTATTTTTTGCTTTTTTGATCTTGATCTTCTTTGCTTTGACCTCTGGCCATTCTGGATGCTGCCAACGCACCTGCCATCTTGATACACTTTCTCCCCTTGGCATTCTCTAGTTGTCTCCCTGCCTCTCTGACTGCCCCCTTCTCATTCTCCCCTGCAGGTGCCTCCCTGCTCCCTGCTCCTTTAAATGTTGATTTCCTCAATGCCTCATCCAAGCCCCCCTTAGTAGCAAGCCAGTGCTTGGGAGCCAGATGGACACCATGACTCTAGTGCCTTCATTGTTCGTCCCTTCCTTCTTCTTAGAAGTTGCACTCAAATATCCAGTTAACCTCCTGACCTCAGTTCTCCACCCAAGGGCACCTTATACTGAACATGTCCGACACAGAAATTCTCGTTTCCCCCCAGAAACCCTGCTTCTGCCCTCCAACCCCAATGACTCTGGGTTTGGATTCATGTGCTTTCAACTGCCCCATCTGCCCTCGCAGGTCCCAGGACTGGTGAGGTGATTTGCCATCTAGTCTGGTCCTCCATGCCCTTCTCTCTGTGGCTTCTGAAGGATATTTCTGAGACACAGAATGCATGACCTTCACCTCTTTCTTGTCCAAGGAGTTAGGTTTAAGCTCTCAGGGCTAGCACCTTGGGCTGCTTGTCAGTGTGTCTCCAGCCATGGGCTACCTGCTGCGTGTGGCCTGGGTCCCAATGGTTTGTGGTCAGAAGACTTGGTGCCCTGATGGCTCTGCTGTTCAGCCATTAGGCACTCTGCTTGTAATGACCCCTTCTCTTTGTCCACCTGACTGAATCCAGACTTGGCTCAGGCACCGCTGACCCACCTGGGCTGGATGCAGTCTGTCTGTGGCACACTCATGCTGGCTTGGTGCCAGGCTGGCTGCTCCATGGCGCAGTGGGTCCACTTGTGCTGGTTGCAACAGGAACTGAGCATCTGAGGTCAGGGTAGGCTGTTTTCTGTCTAGGAACTTGTGGGCAGATGTCCAGGGAGAAATACTTCTCCAGCCACTTGCTGGGGACTCTCAGTCGCAGCCTGGGATAACTGAACTGTCTGCTTTTGTGCCCCCTTGCCTCGTAGACATTCTGAGCCCCCACACCTGTCTCACTGTGAAGAGAGCAGGACCAAGGTAGAGGAGAAATTCCACCCTGGCCACAAACTCGACCATTTCTCACAGTATGATATAACTTTGGGCAGCACACATCCCCTTTCAGAGCCCTCACTTCCCATCTGTAAAATGGGCTGGTAGCACCTACTTGGAGGACAGATGCAAGGAAGTCTGTGTGGCATACTTGCATGGCCTGTTCCCATTCCTCAAACAGGGCAGCTGAGAGCCGGAGGAGCGCACCCTGATCCTAGTCACACTGTGTGCTTTGGTAGTATGGCTGGGGTATCTTTTTGGTACTCCATGCTCCCCCACTGGCTCTTGGTCTTGCTCTCGCTACTCTCCACTCACCCCATCATCTGCTGTAGTGCCTGTGGATATGGGATTTGGGGGGGTGGGCTGCAGGAGCCCATGGGAGATGGGGGTTACATGGAGGCAGGCAGGCCCCTGCACTCTGGACATCCGGGTAAGTCTTGTCTGCCTTTATCAAGTGGCGTGAGCAGGCACCATTGCTCATTGGGGGGCCCAGAAAGACCTGTGTCACTGGGTACCTGCTGATCCCATACAGACAGCCACACCAGCCTGGCCCAGCTGGGACTGGGGTTCAGCCTAGTGGAAGGGGTGGGGCAGCCTGCACACTCCTCAGGAACCCTCTACCTTGCCCCCCATCCCTGGGGCTCTGGGTTGAGGCAAGCCGAATCCTGGTGGCTGGGCAGCTGAGGTTGGGTCTACCCCAGCTTGCTGTGTGCCGTTATCCCAGCATGTACTCCTCTGGGGTTTTCTCCTCTCTGCCAGAAGCAGGAGGGGCTCTGGAGAGTGATTTGGAGGCAGGCCTGGGCCTCAGTGGTGTCTCTCTTTGTAGAGTGCGGATCATGACGAGTCCAGTGAGTTGGAGATGAGAAGAACTTCAAACCCATGCATCGTTGAGAATGGGCACCAACCGGGGGCAGGTAGAGGCTCAAGGCAGAAGGGAGGGTGGCTGGGTAGGTTTGGGACTTGGACCCTGTACCAGGCCATCACTTAGCCTTAACCCTAAAGGACAGAGAGGCTGCCAAGAGCTCAGTCTCATAACGGATGAAGTAGAACTTTTTAGACAAGGGGGAGATGGGAAGTCTTGGAAGGGGGTGAGTGTTCCCGTTTCTGGAGGCATGGCAGCAGAGCCTGGGGAATTGCCCAAGCACTGACTAGGGTAGAGGGTAGACAAGCCAGCTGGCATTTACTGAGCTGGCTCCTGTGGAAAGTTGGAGAAGACAGTAAGATATGCCCAGGAGAGGCAGTCAGAGAGGCCTCCCTGGAGGAGGCAGAAGGAGGGCTCAGGGAGACTGGCGCCCTCTCAGGGTATTCTGAAGCTTTGATGGATACCGTGGCTGACCTTGACCTCCTCCCCTGCCCCACTGGTCAATGTTCCAGGTCCAGACATTGGATCCCCGGAGGCTCCCCAAACCTTCCCGGCCCCAGAGCCGCCCCGCAAGCCTCGCCCTGTGAGCCTCTCCTTGAGGCTCCCTCACCAGCCGGTTACTGCTGTCACCCGAGTCTCCGAGAAGTTCTCCGGGGAGACCCTGGCTCTGTCACCTACATCTGCTACTGTCCTAGGGGGTCTCACTACGAGCCCCAGTGACGCCACCACACCCTGGACCCCCAGCCCAAGTGGTAGGAGAGGAGAGTGTGGATGGGGGCGGGGAACAGACCCACCTCGGAATCCAATGGGGAGAGCAGGGCTGTGTGGAGAAGGGCTGGAGACTCAAGAAACCCCAGCTTTACCTGTGACGGTCCTATCCCTGCGACCTGAGCCTGCTTGGCCTGTCATGTACAGCCCACCCTTCCTGGCTTTGTCCACAGTGTCAGGGGTCCCCTAGACCTGCTCTTGAGCCTGTAGTCCAGCCTCAGAGGTGTATCCAGCTTAACGTGGGTGCCTGCCCCTCTACAGGGCTAACACGGCTGGGATGAGGAGGCCAAGTCAGAATTAGGAGGCTGGGCTGGCCTTCCTGAGGCCAAGGATTGTTCTTTCTCTCCCTCCCATTGTCCTGCAGAAAAGAATTCCACTCTCACGTGGTTGAACTCTGGCTATGGACCAGCAGCGACAGGCAGGAGCAACAACAGGTGAGTCTGGACCCTTGCCCTCTGACCCATGGAGGTTGTCTTTCCTCAGGTGTCTTCTCTGTTTGGCCTTGGGCCCTGAGGGAGCTCCCTTCACAGGAGTTAGCACCCACCTTAGGTTGGGTCTTCATGGAGGGCCTGGGGGGTACTTAGGCAGCAGGGTTGCTGGCTAGGATTTGAGCAGGGAAAGGAGGCAGTGGGGATTGGTACATCCCTATGGAGACCCTCCAACGCAAACCTGCCAAAATCCTGAAGGGGAGAGAGAAGTTAGGAGGGTCCCCACTTTGCTTTTTCTCTGTCGTGGCTGGCTGGGGTCCCTCAGAAGCTGGATTCCTTCCTGCCTGGAGACCAAGAAGGTACCTGGAAAAGCCATAGACTTTCCTGGGCAAGTGTTTGCCAGCCTGGCCTGTGGTGTACACCTGTTCCCCTAGGCTAGCCTGGACCATGATGCTGGTGGTGGGGTGGCTCAGCTGTATTTTTTTTTTTTTTCCTTTTAGTAAAAGAAGAATTGTGATCCCCAGGGGAGAACAAAGAGAGTCTTATCTAGTACTGGCAGGGGAGGGGGGCTGGCCTTGTGGACTGGCTTTGTGTACCCCCTGCCTACTCTAAGAATTGACATCCACCAATGGGCGATTGTGACCTAGAGAGGGACCTGTTCTTTGGGATAGCCAGCTCAGTTCAGAAAACTTGCCAAACTGGTTGGATACCAAGTGATGTTTATTTCCTGTAGGTCACTGTGACATTCCCCCCCCCCCCGCCCCCTCATCTTCTGTAATCATGGATGCGACCCTGTCCACCTTATTTCAGACACTGGCCATTTAGTGGGTTGGCTTGGGCAGTGTGGCCAGCGTTCAGGGAGGGAAGCCCTCAGGCGTCTGTGTTCTGACAAAGCGCTTCTTTCCTCAGTCCTCCTCTGGTGACATCACCCCAGTCACCCCCATCCCCACAGCCACCAGCCACAGCTCAGGCCCATCGCCAAGGGGAGCGGCGCCGGGAGCTGGTGAGGTCGCAGACGCTGCCCCGTACCTCAGGGGCACAGGCCCGGAAGGCGTTGTTTGAGAAGTGGGAGCAGGATACAGCGGCCAAGTATGGATGCTCACTCGCAGACCTGGCTAGAACCCCTCGATAGGCCCAGCTCCAGACTGGAGCCAGGCAGATTTAGCATAGCAAGGCTGGGCCCTGCCCTGCTCCCCAGGATTTGACACAAGATCAAGGCAGATTGGAGGTCACATGGCCTGAGTGAGGGGAGAAGAGGGTTGTGGGGCAGGGAGCCAGGCAAGGCCTGGTGAGAGCCCTATCTTCTCCTTCTTGTCCCGGGCCATCCTCATATTCACAATCATTCCTCGTGGACTGTAGCTCCTTTAGTTTTGGACCTAACTGAGGAAAAGGGCAGGCAGCTAGCCTGACACTCTTGGCTAGGACTGGCCTTCAACTAGTGGCCCAGACTCTAGTGCCCTCTGAAACCACAGCATGCCTCGAGCCATACCCACAGAGGCAGGGGCCCTGGCACCTGGTGTGATGATGAAGACAACCAGACAGGCCCTGATCCCGAGGTGCCCAGGACCTTCTCTGCTGCTAAGGGCTGTCCTTTTGGGAGCTGGGGAGGAAAGCCATCCAGTGTGGCTTGGAAAGAGCTATCCCGGGAAGGAAGCTTTATGCCTGAGGCTCTGGGGGAGCATGGGGTGAGGGGAAGGAGGACTAGGGTGGGACAAAGGGAGGCAGGGGAGGTGTCCCAGCAGAGAAGATTAAGCAGTGGCATAGGGTCATGCCAGCTCTGGCCCTCTGGCCTGGAGTTTCTAGGTGACTCCTGATTCTGGTTGGTACCTAGCAGGCTGACAGTGGGTGGAAGGGCCTGGCAGATACTGTTTGAGGAGCCTGTGTCACAGGTGTGGAGTTCATACAGGCAGGGGAGCTCCGAGCTGACAGTGTCTCCCCTGGGTGAGCAGAACAGGGGATCCTCCAGGTGGCGTGGGACATCCCCCACTCAGGCCAGGCTGGGGTTCTTGGCCTCTCTGGCACTGAGTCTGTCTGCAGAGGGAAAGGGGAGACGCCGCGGGCGAAACTAAAGCGCTCCCAGAGCTTCGGAGTGGCCAGCGCCAGCAGCATCAAGCAGATCCTGCTAGAGTGGTGTCGCAACAAGACTCTTGGTTACCAGGTGAGCCTGGCCGGGTCCAGCACCTGCTACTGGGCCCCAGCCAGAGGGTTGACCAGGTGTTTCCCTCGGCCTGTGTCCCCCTGGCCAGAACCCAGCAGCGGAGCTCGAGGGAAGAACCCTTTGAGTCAGCACTGAGCCATCGAAATGTGCATAGAAATCCCAGGGACCATATCCTGGTCTGAGCAGCCTCGTCTTGTGCAGCTGGCTTTATGCTGAGGTGGCTGGGAGCATCTGCTGGTGGAGGCCCATTGGTGGTGGGGAGAGCTGGGGTGGGAGCTACCCCTCACTCACCCTGATGCTGCCTTACCCCCAGCACGTGGACCTGCAGAACTTCTCCTCCAGCTGGAGTGATGGGATGGCCTTCTGTGCCCTGGTGCACTCCTTCTTCCCTGATGCCTTCGACTACAATGCGCTGAGCCCCACGCAGCGGCAGAAGAACTTTGAGTTGGCCTTCACTATGGCTGAGTGAGTATGGTGGTTCCCAGTAACCACTGGCTCCCAGCCCAGCTCCTGAGCCAGACTGAGCTGAGGGCCTTGAGGCCAGGCTGTCTTTCTACCTTATACAGATGGGGAGACTGGGACCTAGAGAGGGGATAACCCAGGTCACACAGCATTCATGGAGGAGCTGGGCTCTGTTTGCGGTGTGCCTGTCACCATTGCTGGTTCTCAGTCTCCCGTGAGCTGACTTGGAGACCAGCCACAACAGGGTGGGAGGGGCAGAGGGATGGGGTCTCCCTGAGTCTCTCTGAGCTGTTAGAGTAAAGCAGTGCTTGGATGAACCACAGCTGCTGGTCAGTATAAAATTGGATAATATCTGCCCAGGAGAAATTCACAATGATTCCCTCATTAGGAGATTTGGATTCCCTAAATTGGATTCTCTGAGGCAGCAGTGGTTCAGCACTAGAATGCTTGCCTTCCATGTGGGGGTCCCAGATTGGATTCCTGGCCCGTGGGCCTCATGCACAGCCACCACTTGTCCATCTGCTACGGGAGGCATGTGTGTTGCTAAAATGCTGAACGGGTCCAGTGGAGCTTTCCGATGAAGAAAGGCCTGGTGATCTACTTCCAGAAACCCCTATGGATCACATGGTTCCATCTGTAACCAGCCATAGGGATGGTGCAGGACTGGGCGGTTTGTGTTCCATTGTGCATGGGGTCACCATGAGTTGGGGGCTGTCCTGACTATTCTAATAGTTGAGAAAAAATTGCCTTCCTCCCTAAGTCCTGCTCGTAGGGAGTAGACTGTGAAGGGGTTATAGACTTGGGGTACTTGCTAAGCCAGTGTGGGATTTGGCTATTGGCTAAGGGCACCCCCAACCCACACCTAAAGCAGATCATTCATGTCTGGAGGAGAGTTGGCAAAGCAAGGTTTACCAGTCCGAGTCTAGCAGGGAACAAGTGGTACATTCAAACTGAGTACTTGAGAGTTTAAGAAAGGGGCTACTTCAAAGGCTGTTCCAAGCTAGCAAGGCCGAGGGTAGCACCACTGTGTTCCCAGCAGTGGGAGCTGGCAGCAACCCTAGGCTAGGCTTTACCAGGACCCTAGGCGGGGATAGCTGCACGCTGAGCACTGTCTGATAGAAGCTGTGCTTAGGGAAAATCCTGCAGCCTGGTGGTGCTGTGGGTTAGGCATTGGACTGCTAACTGCAAAGCTGGCAGTTCAAATCCACCAGCCACTCCGTGTGAGAGATGATGCTGTTGCCCCCATAACGAGTTACAGTCTGGGAAATTCTATATCGAGTCGCAATGGACTTGATAGCTGTGGCTCCCAGTTATTGACCTGGTGGGAATTGGAGAGACAGGTACCCTGACCTCACTCTCCTGTCCTCATGCCTGTGCCCTGAGTTGTCTAAACCCAAATCAGAAGATTGAGAGCTTGGGGTCCCATTGCTGGCTCCATGGAGGCCTCCTGGGGCGGCAAGCAGGTAGTGATGCCCATTGCTCAGGGCTGCCTGATGAGGAAGCCCAGGTCACTACAGGGAATTAAGGTCAGGAGCAGGAGGCCCTCTCTGAAGCTGGAGGGGATGTTTGTCCTTGTCGGCCTGCCTCCCACCTATGTGCCCTGGGCCCAGCTGTCTTCCACTGACCTCGTTGGGTTTTCTGTCTGAGTCCACAGTGCCCACATCCACAAGCTAGTCCTTAACTGCTGCTTGAGGAAAAGAAACCCTAACTCTCAGGCTCACCTGCACTCCTCTTTGTTCCTGACCTGACCGCTTCCAGCCCAGCCCCTGCCCCCCCCCACCCTTCACACACACACACACACACACACACACACACACCCCATGCTCAGGCAGGAGCCTGGCCATGGCCAGGGAAGGAGGGAGAGTCAGCAGGCTACGAGACCCACACTTCGTCACGAAAGTCTGGTGCTGCACACAGGCGGCCGCCCCTGTCTGGAGCGGCAAACTCGGGGGCTGAATTGAGATGCTGGCTCTGAGCTCCTCAGACCTGATTCCCTTGGAATCTCAGCCTTGCCCGTTGGGTTGTTTCAGATGACGTGCTTGGCTTCTCAGCCCTCTTGGGGTCATCAGAACTCCTTGTATACTTTAAAAGCCTTCTCTTTCTTGGCTGCTTGGAATTAGCTGTCATCCTAATTGCAGAAACAGCCCCGAGTGGAGTGTGTTATGCAACTGGATCATGACCGTGGAGAGAAGTAGAGCCAAGGGGAACCAAGTGATGCTGGGGCGGGGGTGGTTGCGAAGAGAAGGTCCAGCTGCTGGAAGGCAGGCATGCTGACAGTCAGAATCAGACCTCTTAGACTACATGGAGGCTGGGGCTCTAACCCGGTTACCCTAGCACCCACCCCAGCCAGGGGAACCTACATGTTGGTCACTGAATTCTTTACTGGGGTTGACCCAATGGGCCAAATGGTGCCAGCTCACGCCCTGGCCTCCCACTCACCCTTAGCCCTGGCTTCTGGGCCGTGGCAGGGAGAATGAGGCCCTGGGCCACGGGGTAGTGGCCCTGCTCCCTAGCTCACAGGGAACACAGCTTCCCTTGGCAGCTGGAGCCGGGAGTGATTCAAGCCCTCACTTTCCCAGCACGAGGTTTGAATTCACAGAGCCTCCAGACTCCAAACAGATGTTTCTTCTATTCCCAGCTTGGTGGGGGTAGTGGAGGCAGGTCCAGGTTTGGCCTCCCTCTTCCCTCTTCCCCAGAGCAGACAATGGGTAAGCAACTTGGCCTTGCCTCCCTATGTCTGACTGAGGAGGGGAGGATGGTTGGATGGGGCTGCTGAGATGAATTCTTGCTTTTCTGCTGACTCAAGGGAGCAGAGAGGGGGTCCACAGCAGGCTTTTGTGTGTGTGGGGGCTTACACAGAGTCTGGGAAGGTGCCTCCCCCTCATGACTCATATAGGAGATTATCTTGAAGGTTGGTGGGGGAGACGGCTGGGGAATGGCCTTGCCTGCCCAGGCTCTTGGAGGCAGCAGCTTGGATCACCTAGTGTGTTGGATAAGAAGACGGTTAGAAAAGCTAGAAAGCAAGCACAGGGACCCCAACTTGAGGCTACTGCTGATTAGCATCTTAGATATTTCTTCAACTTGCCAGCAAAAAGCAAAGCAGACATTTGGTGCTGTTGGAAGCTACCAAGAGGCATGCAGGCAGCTGAACAGAGCTCAGCAAGGCAGTTTGTGGTTGTGCAATGAGAGGAGCCCTAGGGTCTGATAAGGCATAACCTTTGGAAGGAAGAGGAGCAAGCTGGATCCCCAAACCATAAGTCCTTCTTGCATCCAGAAGGAAACCTTTCCAGACCCTTCCATGTACAAGGGTTGTAAAAGCACAAACTCCCCTCCCCCGAGTGCTTTATGGCCCTTAAAAGCATCCTCATGAGTGATGCGGTGCTGACAGCAAGCCCAGCTCCCCTCACTGCTGACAGGTGTTCCTGCCTGGGCCGACGCTTGACCCCCTGCGCCCTCCTCTCACAGGCAAGCTCCCTGTTTGCCCTGCAGGGAATGTGTGCTGGACTCGTGTTACGAGCACAGCCTCAGGGCCTTCCAGGCTATTTGTAGTGCCCATGTGTCTCTGGCTAAAACCAGACGAGCCTGCATTCCGAGCCCTGGCATCCTGATCTGCTCTTAGAGAAGACTTTAAAAAAAACAAACCCACTCCTTCCCAGCCCCAAATACTCCATCCCTTACTGGCCAGGGCTGTGGTAGCTGAAAATCCAAACATCCGAGGGTGCTTCAAAAAGTTCATGGAAAAATGAAAGTGATAATAGATAATGAACTTTTTGAAGCTTGTTGTTGGTAGGAGCCCTTGAGTTGGCTCTGACTCACAACGACCCCGTGAATACAGAACAAAACACTGTCAGGTCCAGTGCCATCCGCACAATCACTGCTATGTGTGAGCTCATTCTTGCAGCCACTGTGACCTAACTGGTTGGAAAATGCTAACCCTGGTTTTTGCTATGAAGTTTGAATTGATGTGTAATGTCTTCTTATGACTTTTCTGGGTTGTTTGGATGATTTAAAAAGTGTTTGTATTTTAGCGCACCGGTTTTACACAAAGCAGTTGCAAAGAGTGGCACTTGGGACACGGATGACTATGAGACTTAAGTGTTATAAAAGTTGAATGCTGACGCTCACTTTCCTTTTCTGCTGTTCTGTCCTCCTGGGTTTAGTTCCATCCAGCTCTGCTGCTTCTCGGAATTCTGTCCTTACTGTTGTCACTGGCCTCAGAGTATCTCTTGAGGGAACATGCTCTCTTTGTAGGAAAAAATCCCACTGTGATTGGGGTAGAAAACTAGGGTCCCTGAGGGTCCAGGTGGCAGGTGGGGGCGGTGTTATGGTCTCCGCTCTCTATGTTGATGAATTTGGCTGGAAACCCCATGGGTCACATACGTCCGACCCACAGCTGATTGTGATGGGGATGGTACAGGGCCTGGTAATGTGCTGTCCCTTTACGCACAGGGTCATCATGAGTTGGGGGCTGACTTGATGACAGTTGACAGCAACAATACGGGAGAAGTGGGTGAGGGGCAGAGGATAATGGAAGGCTGTGTGCTGTACCCCCTCCTCAGGAACCTCCACGCTTAGACATAATAATGAGGTTGGGCATGCTAAGCCACAGGAAACTTGAGCTGGGGTTGTGGCCCAGTCCCCTGGTTGCTTGCTGGGGAAGGCAGTGCCTGGTCCCAGGCTTTCTGTCTGCCTGGGTGACTCCCGGGTGGGGTTTTAGCTCCTCTTCTGACTGCTGCACTGATCACCAAGACTTGCTGCCTGGGCAGTGCCCATCCTGTCCACTGCCATCAAATTGACTCTGACTCATAGCGACTCTTTAGGACAGTGTAGAACTTGTGCCTTAGAGTTTCTGAGACTCCGTATCTTTACGGCAACAGATAGCCTCGTTTTTCTCCTCCAGAGTAATGGGCTTGCACTGCCAACCTTGGGGTTAGCAGCTTGGTGCCTAATGCATTTTGCCGCAATGGCTTCTTTGGGCAGGGCCAGGGTTTATTCACTGGAGCTAAATGCAGCCTGGAGAATGAAGAAGGGAGTCAGCTGACTGTTCTCTGCATAGGTTGGACCACACTGGAAAGTGCCAACAGTGGTGGGTACCTGCATGAAGAGGGCCAGGAAGAACCCAGAACTAGCTCAGAGAGAGAGAGTCCCAGGTGGTTTGTGGTGGAACCAGAGATCTTTAACTTGAGGGAAGACATGGATATGAAAGTTCTCTTCAAACGCTGGAAGACCTCTATCATGGGGGAAAAAAAAGACTGAGGCTAACCTTGGGGGACCAACAGATTAGGAAGTACGGAGTGATAAAACAGCGTCTGCACCTGAAGGAAGAGCTTTCTCAGGACCAGAGCTATCTGCAGAGGGAACCCTGGTGGTGTAGGGGTTAAGGTTAGGCTGCCAACTGCATGGTCAGCGGTTCAAGCCTAGCTGTCATTCCCTGAGAGAAAGCTGAGGCTGTGTGCTCCGGTGAAGACGTACAGGTTCCGAAACCCTATGGAGCAGTTCTACTGTGCTCAGTGGGGTCGCTCTGAGTCAGAAGTGACATGGCAATGGGCTTGGTTTTCTTTCTTGGTTTAGAAGAAATTAGGTCCTGGCCCCTGGAGGTGAGCGAGCCGAGACAGGGACTTTGTAGAGGTGATTGGTATTTTTGATGGAGTCTTTGGATAGTGCAAAATAGTCAGTGTATTTGGCTCATAACTGAAAGGTTGGGAGTTCAACCCCATGCAGAGCCTCAAAAGAAAGACCTGGTGATCTACTTCTGAAAAAAATCAGCCATTGCAAACGCTGTAGAGTCAGGGTCTGCTCTGATGCTCCTGTGGGTGTCACGGGTCAGGGTTACCTCCATGGCAGCCTGCTGCTTTAGATGGGGTGCTGTTTGGACTTCAAGTTGTATTGGAGGGCCGAGGTCCTAGGACTGGAAGCTGTCTTCATTTCACGAGGGGCCGGTGTCAGACAGTGGCAATAACCTGGGCACAGCTTGTTAATGTGGACATAGCCGCTCCCACACCATGGGGTCCTCGAGACAGCAGCCCTGTGAGGACAGGTATTGATTCTGTGTTGTGGGTAAGGAGAGGGACCCGATTCAGTGGCAGCTTAGGAAGGTGAACTCAGGTCCCTGGCCTCTTGCAAGAACTCAGACTTTGAACCAACCCTTCACTGCCGACAAAGCACCTTTGCACGCCTGTCCTTTTCAGAGTGACCCGAGGCCTGTCCTGGGAGAGAGGGTGCCCGCTAATTGGGCCAAACTCACTCATCTCCCCACAGGGCCATTGGATTCCCTTACAGGCTGCCTGCTCCAACCCCCAGGGGAGGCGGTGATAGGATCCATGACAGATGTCTCCATTTCGCCTTGACATTTGCTTTCTGATAGGCCTGGCGTCTGGTCAGCACCAGCCAAGCAGGGCCCTGTGGTTTGTCTCTGGAGCATGCTGGCCAGGGAGCCAGCTGGGACCTGGGCAGCTCCTGTGCTGTATCCTGCTAGAAAGGCAACCTCTGGGAGTGGGGGTCAGGGTCACCCCTTGATTCTTGCCCCACTGACTGAGCTTTCTGGGGGTACCCCAGTGGGAGGGAGAACAGAAGCAATGGTCTGATTTTTCTGATGAGGAAATGAGTGTAGAAAGATGAAGATTTTAGCAGAACAGGGACTGAAAGAAATCCAGATATTTAGAGTCAGTGAGGACATTGGTAGTTCTGTGTGGGGGACATGGGTTTGATTCCAGCCCGTGCATGCACCTCATTGGCAGCCGCCACACAGCTGTCAGTGGAGACTGTGTGTTGCTCTCGTGCTAAACAGATTTCAGCGGAGCTTCTAGACTAACACTAGGAAGAAAGGCCTGGTGATCTGTTTCCAAAGATAGGATAACCCTATGAGGCACAGTGGTCCCCAGCTGTCATGGGATGGCTCAGGAGCAGGCAGTGTTTCATCCCCTTGTATATGGGGTTACACATTGGCAGCTAACAGCATTATTTTTATTTTCTCCCCCGTTCTCCCTGTGACCCCTCTGTTACGTAAAGTGAAGCATGATCATCACAAGAGCAACATAAGAATTTTTGTCATTAATTGAACTCTTAGAGCTGCTGTTACTGATCTGCATGCATTAGAATATTGAATCCTCATAGCACCCTGGGAACTGGTTATTGTTCCTGTTTTCCAGATGGGGAAACTGAGGTCCAGAGAAGCTACATGTCTTGTCCAAAGTCATATATAGGGAGGAAGAGATGAAGGTGGGGTTTGACCACTGACAGGCAATTATCGATATTGGGGGGGCAAAAAAGACTGGGGATCCCTGAACTACAATCTCCTCAGTTGAAGGAAGAACTCTGAGACTATCAGATCATACACAGTCATTTCTGCCTGATGATGTTGGACCAGCTATATCTGTCACCCAGAGGAGCCAGGCATAGTGCGAGCAAAGCAGTTTCTGCCCTGGCTTCCAGAATAAGTCTGCTGTTATCGGGAGACCCAGTGCTGAGCAGTGTGGCGCTCCATGCCTCACCTAACCTCCATGAGGCCTTGGAGCTTGGAGGGTGGAGGGAGCAGCTTTGTCCCTGGCGCCGCCAGGCTGAGTGTTAAATCAGCATTCTCCAGAGCGTGGGGCACACGTGGGAAGACTCCCAACATGATTTTAGGCAGTTTTTCAAAATGCAAGATATGACCCTTACATAGATTATAAAATCAGTATAGTGGTTCATGACCAGTGTTTGAAAAAAAAAAAGAAAAAGGAAGGGGAGAAATGAAAGAAAGATTACAGAGAAAATATCAGTATAGTAAAGGTAAAAATTTTTGTGACATGTTATTTCCACATATATGTGTGTGTGCTGAGTAATGATGAACAATATAGGCTGTAGTAAAAAATGTTTAAAAAACACCTTTAAGAGGTAGAGGAATGAATGAATTTTTTGCTTTAGTAGCTTTATTTTTATAGTTGATGCTGATTTTGCATGTACAGGGTACTAGGAGTTGAACCGATTCAACAGCATTTAACAACAACAGTGAGATATAGTGGAGCCCTGGTGGCATTGTGGGCTCATCATTGGGCTGCTAACCACAAAGTCCACGGTTCAAACCCACCAGCCGCTCCATGGGAGAGAGATGAAGCTGTGTGCGCAGTCACGAGGGCTCTCTGGATCAGTTCTAGTCTGCCTGTAGGGTGGCCAGGAATCTAATCCATTTGATGGCAGTGGGTATTGGTTTTAGTGCTAAAACATTTATGTGTGTGCGTGTGTATAAATTTAATTTTCACTTGAAATGTGAATAAGTGAAGTTTTTCAAGTAGACATACATGTTAAAAATTTGAATTGTAGAGGTGGCTTATGGAATGGACATGGGAAGGTGGAGAATGGCGCAGCAGATGGAAGGTTTAAGGGCCTAACAAGGTTTATTTGAAAGCCAAGTTCCTATTGGTTGGCAGCAGAACTTCTGATCCGGGCTGAGTTTTGGTCTTGGGAGCGTGAGGACCACTCTTTGGGGGCCTTGGACTACGTGGTTGAATTGGGACTGTCATTCTAACGGGGGGCTCCTGCATTTCAGGAACCTGGCCAACTGTGAGCGTCTCATTGAAGTAGAGGATATGATGGTGATGGGCCGCAAGCCGGACCCCATGTGTGTCTTCACCTACGTGCAGTCGCTGTACAACCACCTGCGCCGCTTTGAGTAAAGGCCTGGCTAGACCCGCAGCAAGCCCAGGAAGAGATGGAGGGGTGGCTTGTTGCCCCCACTTCCACACTGAAGAGTTGCGCGCTGTTTGTTCTGTAGTGTGTCACTGTGCTCCCTCGTGCCCAGCTGTGTGACTGATGAAAAGTACTGCTGAGCTGTGCTCCATCGGTGGTGATCACAGCCAAGGGCTGGAACGAAGCGGAAACATCGCCCCTGAGAGAGAGAGAGAGAGAGACAAGAGACTGGTGCTAAGTCATTATCTTCTTCAGAAATGCTTGTCAGTTGTAGATTCCGGAATGCTGAATTACCCTTTTCCCTCGGGTGAATTTGATAGTTGTCTTTGCAGGGTCACATTGATTATCAAGTGTTTTCTTCTTCTTCTTTTTTAATCGAAATACCCAGAGTTTTTTACTTCCTCACACTATTGTAGGTTCCTTTCCTCCCTCCCTCTGGGCTGCTGCCAGGAAACAGAGAGGCCGCTTAATCAGTAATTTGACAAAGAAGGCCCAGAGTCTTGGGAAGAAACAGTTTAATCACTCCCAGGTCCTGGGCAACAGATGACCTTTGAGTCACCTCCACTCTCTGGGGAGATGGGAGGGTTCACCCGTTGGTCCCAAATTGCTCCTGTTCTCCTCAGGAGGCCCCTCAAGTGTTGGGCTAAGAATAGCCCCTCGGGAAGTTAACACTTTTGGGGCGGGACAGGCTCTTCTTTATGCTGAGGGTAGTTTTTATCCACATTTCTCTTAGAAGATCTGCTGCAAGATATTTATGAAAGACAATAACTTCATCTGTACCGGTAACCATTGTACATAAAAAGATGTGTCAGACTTCACTTGGGATTCGTTCTTTCTGCTCAGGGAGTGATAAGAGTCTCTGTGAATAAGAGATTTTGTACACATTCTGCAGGAAAAGCTACTGAAATTCTCCCTTAGCTGTTTCTGTACCTAAATTGCTTGTCTGTTGTTAGTTGCTGTGGAAGCAGCCCCAACTCATGGCGACCCCATGAATGATGGTATGAAACTGCCTGGCTGGGTGTCAGCCTGTGCTTGGTTCCCAACCATTGAGGTCCACAAGGTTTCCACTGACCGATTCTTGGAAGCAGCTCACCAGGTCTTTCTTAGTCTGGAAGCTCTGCTGAAACCTGTTCAACATTCTAACATCATGAAGGTCTCCCCTGATAGGTGGACGGGAGGTGTGTTGGCTGGGACTCACACCCGGGTCTTCAGCATAGAAGGCAAGATGACTACTTCTGAGCGACCATTTGTTGTTGTTGTTGTTAAGTACCGTCGAATCGGTTCCGACCCATAGCAACCCTGTACAGGGTTTCCGAGGGTGTAAATCTTTACGGGAGTAGAAAGCCTCATCTTTCTCCCGTGGAGCAGCTGGTAGTTTCGAACTGCTGACCTTAAGGTTCGCAGCCCGATTTGTAACCTCTACGCTACTGAGCGACCTTGGTCCCTCTTATTTAGAAAGCGGAAAATTACATTTCTTGCCTCCCACTTACCTCTTGATCCTAATCTCTGTGCTATTGTCTGAGGAGCATGAATAGAAAATGTCCTCTCATGAAACTGCCCCCAGGAGGCTAACGTATCTAGAATAAACAGTGGCCCAAGACAGTAGGTTTTGGGGTGGTCTCACACTTGGAAGAAACCCATGAAGGAGGGCTGGTTTATTTGCACAGCTGTTTGGTAGTAGAATTTTAATACAAAACCACCAATCCTATAAAGCCACAGTTTATTCTTATTCAAGAATCGTTTTAGAATTGGGGTTGGATTTTAGCCATAAACGTCTAAAATTTCCCTTTAAGGACCTAATATGTATCTTCAGCTCAGGCAGTGAGCTCTAAACACTCACTCTTGTGGGTGTCTTTGTGGAGTCAAGTGAGTGTCCCTTGTGTTTGTGAGTAGGGGGCCAGTAGATGATTCTTGGGTGTATCGGGAGGGGGGCGGCAGAACTGGGAAAGTGGCTGGGCAGGAACCTTGGCAGACTGGCTTGTTCAGGCTGCATTCACGCTCCGTCTTGGATTTCCCTATAGTCTGAAGAACTCTGTTCCTAGCTCTCGTCTCTTGCAGATCTGGGAAGGTGATCCCTGTTATTAGTAGGGATGCAGTGCCTGGGTCTTTTTTCGTCCTGAAGCTTAGGGTTTCAAACCTAAAGCCAATCTGGGAACACAAGGGCTCTATAAAAAGCATGCCTATACGTTACTGAGTACTTACACATGTGAAGTGGAAATCTTCTGGTCTAGGTGGAAACTTGCATCTCTGCACATAAACCAGAGCCATCTGCAGGGATAAGGAACAATTTCTCTTAAACTTTCAGAACACAGTCCCTTAGGTCTCATGTTCACAATAATTCCCCAAACCCACTGCCATCGAGTTGATTCTGACTCATAGCGACAGAGTATGCGCAAAGCTTCCCTGTAGGGTTTCCAAGACTGCTAATTCTTTTTTTTTTTTTAAGATTTATTGTGAATTGAGTGATGATAGTTTACATGGGAGAATATCAGTTTTGCACTCATCCTGTTGTATTTTGTTTCATTGCAGTGATTATAATCCCCTCCATGCATTCATTCATTCCTCTAGTCGAGTTCTGACTACCAAGCCATTCAGGCTAGGTCAAATGGGTACTAGCTGCAAGTTTGGGTGTTCTTGTGAATCTCCCCTCACTTCATATCAGCTGGATGCTTCACTCTCAGCTCTAGCCCTCCGTGGCTATGTCCTTGTCCATGGGCTCAGGTGTCCCCAGGTCTCACCACACTTTAGACCAACCAGCCCTTCCTCTTCTCTCTCTCATCTCCAGGTCAGTGGGAGTCTATGGAACGTGGTTGAACTCAACCCATTTCTTCACTGCTGCCTTTTGCCCTCTTCCACTCACCAGTAGACCAACGTGGTCGCCAGCTTACAAGCCTACTCGTGTGTTTCCTTTGTTTCAGTGTTAGAGGGGGGTTGGTCCTGAAGGGACTTGATTGCTTACCAAGACTGTTTATCTTTATGGAAGGTGACAGCCACATCTTTTTCCCAAGCAGCTGCTAGATAGGTTCAAACTGGTAACCTTTCAGTTAGCAGCTGCGTATTAGTTCACCAGGGCTCCTCTCAGAACAATACAGATTAGATATTTCTGAAGTAGGTCCTATGATGCTTTCTTCTGTGGAAAAATCTGGGGAAATGAAGGCTCAGAAGATTTAGTACATTTTCTAACTACGGTTCAAAACTACCAGCGGCTCCTCAGAAACCCTCTACAGGGTCACTATGAGTCAGAACTGACTGGAGGGCACTTAAAAACAACAACAACAACACTTGATAGGACAAAGCTTGAGAATTCCAAGACATTGGGGGTGGGGGTGGTGGAGTCGTGGGGTGGTGAGGGGAATGCCAGATGAGCTCACAATCTCAAAACATTTAGATGCCTCTGTTTTAGTTCCCTGGTAGCTAATGGTTCAGACCTAACTAGCTGCTCCATGGGAGCAAGATGAGTTTGCTTCTCGAAATATTTACAGCCTCAGAAACACTATGGAGCAATTCTACTAGGTCCTGTTGTAGGGTCACTGAGTCAGAATCAATGGTAGTGGGTTTGTTTTCATTTGGGTTTTAGATCAGGGTTACCCGAGAGTTTCCCGTTTGTGGAATCCAATTCCAAACTGTCCTCTTCCTGGGCACAGATGGCTTCCCATCCTTTTTCCTCCCTAGAGAGAATGATTTCTGAGGCTGCTCTGAAGAATCACTTGCTTTTCCAGATAGATTTTTACCACCTGAATTTTGTTAAATCTGGCTTGTGTGTTTCCCCCAAGGAGTGTTTCACCAGAGCCAAGATGGGTTTTAGCTTTTCTGACAGCTGGTGCATATATTTCAAGACAAGAACCTATAAGCACTTGGTGAATATGATATAACATGAACTGGTTAGAGGCGAGCACATAGACCAGGTGTTTGAGGAACAGTTTGTGAAAGCTAATGAATTTTGTAAATGTACTAGATGATGAAAAGTTCTCAGCTTGCCCAGTTGCCATGGTCAGTGCTCTGAAACTGGAGACCAGCATGAGCGAGCATTTTATTTTCTTCTATTAGCACCAGGTCTCCAGGCAATTGGATGTTTTTGTTATGTGCCGTGGAGTCGGTTCCGACTCATAGTGACCCTGTACAGGGTTTCCGAGGCTGT